TTTCCTTTATTATCCCATCAACGCCTCATGGCAGGAATTAGAAAAAACAAAATTCATATACAGATTTTATTTCCAACTGGCAAGTAAGAGATTATTATTCAGTGCACCACGAAGTTAAGACAGGGATGGAGGTGGCCCAGCCCTGCCTCTGCTGGAACAGGCAAGTGGATCAGGGAAGAGAACACAGGTCAGGGTGGGGAGGGGTCGTGGTGGGCAGGGGTGGGCCAGTCTCCCCACCTCCTCACATTAGGCTACGAGGAACACAGACACATTCAGATGCAGCTGCAGAAAGAGGAGTCACGGGATCTGAAGCCACAAATTGGGACCATGCATCACCCAGTCCCACGAGGCTGCTGTCTCACACTGTGAAAGAAAATAATCATGAACAAATTCAGGTCAGTCATGTAAGTGCTGACCTTCCCAACAGTCCCCCACATGCTCAAATGTCCCATTCAAGGATCCCCACCACCCGGGGCATCCCCTCGGCCCCAACACCTCTCCCAATCTAGGTCCTGCAGGGTCTCACCTTTAGGATCCGTGAGAGACACATCAGAGCCCTGGGCACTGTCACTGCCTGGGGGAGAACAAAACCAGGATGTGGTCAGAACACACAGGAGAGAAACTAGAGAAGGAACTTTAGGAGGGTGAGGCCCCCATGGCCTCCTGTCTGCACCCTCACAAGGGTCTCAGGAATCACAGCCCCTGCACACTTACTTGCAGCCTGGGCGTAGCTCCCTCCTTTCTCACCTGTAAGAAGAAAAGCTCACGTGAGAGGCCAGGGAGAAGACTGAGTTGAGATCCTAGAGGAACCCCCTAGTCCTGGACCCCAGAGAACTTTCCAGAACTGTTGACCAAAACCCATGATAGGATCAGGAACACGAAGAAAGGAGATGTGGGGGGACTGGATCAACTTCTTCCCTCCTGGGGGTCCGTCCTCAGCAGGAACATTCCCTCTCTGACCTTCAAGTGCTGGTAACCTGGTCCCCAACTGGAATCATGAAGGTGAAAAAACCTGTCTTTCATTTCCACATGTGCTTTATAAAAGGGTAAGTGCCAGTCTCCAGACTGGCAAGCAATGTTTCTGAATGGTGCTGCCCAATACACA